ATAAGGAGATTTCTATCCGTGTATAAGGCCAGACTTCTTTGATCATTGTTGAGTAATTATGAGTTACTTAAATTTTCTCGGAGCACAAATATTACCTTTGAGTACACCTGGCTTGCTCCTAGATTCTCTTCATCGATTTTCTCTATCGCGAATAATCCGACTGCAAATGAATTGCCCATCAACACACTACTCAGGCGCAATCTAACATCATCTTCGGTCGAACTGTGCTGCGAGCTTAGTGAGAAATTCATTTATGTTAACAAAGAGAAAGTCGATGAATAAAATCGATCAACGAGGATAGGCCCTTTTCAAATGTTACGCGAGAAATTTTACTTCCTTGCGGAATGAAAGCCCTACACAGAGAAAAAAAAATACCCTAAATTTAAGTTCTTTTTACTTAATTTTGGGTAATTTTGAGTTTTGCATCCCACTCTCACTTTTTGTTGTTGTCAAAAACGGAACGAGAGATTCGACTTCCTCATGACTATCGTTCAATAAGCTACTAGTGAGTATATGAGATATTCTTTAGTTTGAGTCAATTGAACTTAATTTTGGGTGGAAAATACTCATGAGTAAGTACTTATGTTTGCCGTAGTCAAATGTAAATTACTATAAGCGGTTTACTCAAAATTAGCTTATTGAACGGAACATGGGAGATGAGTGAAAAGAACTTAATTTTGGGTAATTTTTCGGTTCCGTGTATAGCCCTATAGCCCTATATGTATACAGTAAAAGCATAGAGGTAACTCTAAGACTAGAAGGTCCCGAAATAACGTGCTCAACTTTTTGGCTCAGCTCTGGTATTCTCTTTGGTCCCAAGCTAATCGATTCACCCTCGAAAAATAGGGAAAACCAATAACCCCTCATTTTATCTGTCAAACTATCATAGCGAATCAAAACAAACATTGCGTAGTACTAGAATTTTGACTACAATGGGGTACGTTAATCGTTTGCTTGGGACCAATAGGCTAGTCAAGTAGTGAGCCAATTTAAAATCGTTAGTTTCGTATTGATTGTTGGTAGAAGTATGGACGTCTGTCAAAAGTTGTTCCAATCGAACCGTCAAAATGCACCGCTTTGCTCGATTGGAACAGCTTTTTTTTCAGTTTTGTGGTGACAGTCGTCCATACTTTAACTAGAGGGCTTTATGCGGAATAATGGTCTGATCAATTCGACAGTAAGCATGCATAAAAGCGTAAACGTGATTATCGATTCTCTTCGTCGATTTTCTCTTTTGTTAATACTAGTAACTTGCTAGATTTATATTTTCTCAGTGCGTTTGCTGTTGTTTTTAATAGTCAATACCAGGGGGAACGACACTCATTCAGATGAATTCTTTTTTACCATGCTTGCCTGTAAAAATAATGTAATTGAAGAGAGTTTTTGAGTTTGTCGTCTTGACGAAAATTGAGTAAGGATAGAAAAAAAATATAGGATTCCTAGTGGGATTGCATTGGATGCGAGGGTGCTTTAAATTGTCATGGGGATGCGTGCAACTGAAATGAAACAGTACGAAAGAAAAACATCGAAGTAGCCATTTGAGTCAATGCTCAGTAAAAAATAATGTTTGGATGGTGACAGCTGGACTACAAAAGCCCTCTACTTATAGAATGTATCGATTCCACGACGAAAAAAACACTTAATTCTAAGCACGCAAACGAAATTTGTGAAAGCCAGTAGAAGTGGCAGCATTTGCAGGAATAGCAGCATCGCGGATTCATGTAGCCGTTACCGAGGCTGGAAACCTCGGTACGGTCACGATACTGTGATCTTCGCAACCGATTTGCAATTCTCCACAGATTAACTTAAAAATTCTACCCTGAATTTGAACTCACAAAAGTGACTTGGAGTGAAAGTCTAAAATCTCTTAGAGCGCTTTCTAAAACTACCTTTAATACCATCTGAAATGACTTGTTATCCCTAAAATCTACTCAAAATTCCAAAAAAGTTTAGTCTGGTCCAAGAATCTTAAAACTTTACAAAGTCCCAAAATCTTTTTTTCTAAAAAATAGATGAAGTAATTTTTTCCCCGATTTGTCATTCCCGGTTTTTTTTTCGATTTCTTGGTTCACTGGTCATCCTGCTCATCCCACACCTGCCCTATAATATTCGATCGACTCTCCACAAATGAGAGAGCGAGATATATTGTCGGATTCGTGCAATACTGGCACCACTCAAAATCTGTGAATTTTCACATTCAACGTTTGAAAATTTGGGGTTCAGTTTCAATTTTATGATTCTTTTCATTTCCATTGGACTGAATCACAGAAAAACTGAATCGAGTGTGTTTCATTAATTATTTCAAATTCAGATTAAAAAATAAACAGTTTAACGATTTTTACTGTTTCTTATTTCAGATGTTCTCATTTGTCATTTGTCTCCTCTATGACGTTCTTGATGTATTTGCCCCGCGACCAATTATAGACGAGTGGTCCGTCATCTATTTTAATTTAAGCTCCCTCGGGAATCCAATCGAGAAATCACTTCATCCTTGGCCAGGACAATCGCCACCTTGAACGGCTCAACACATATCAAATTGTTTTAACACCATGTTTATTATGAAAATCGTTGAAAACTGACAGTGCTTCGCGATCGACCTGAAAACTGCACGGCTTGCTTGATGATTTGTGTGCATGCAGAAGGGATAAGTTGGGAATAGAAAGAATAGATAGGATGGATTGAAATTTTGTGCACGTTGAACATTTCAGGAGTGATTTGGGTAAAAATGGGATAATCCTGAAGTGTCCCCCCCCCCCTGGTCAATACAATACAACCTGTTACAACTATGCATTGAACAAATTCTAGAAAACTGTTTCGCTTAGAGCAACCGTACCAATGGGTAAATAAGGCACATTTACCCGAGCATTTACCAACCTCTATCATAAGGCTACTTGCGTACCGGGGGTTGCTATTCAGGTGGAGGAAATAGCAATCCGCACCTTGGGAAGTAGTGAGTTTATAAATTTAGCAACCCGGTAGCAACGCATCAGATGGTTGCTATTTTGAATAAACGCCAAAAGATTGTTTTGTCGGTGTAGAAAACGGTAACTTAAATTATGACTCTGATAGCAACGACCGGTGTGGAGAGGAGTGATTAAGCCAAAATGGAAACACTGTGCGTAAGTAAAATAGTGCCGCAAATGGCAACGACTGGTACGGTTGCTCTTAGCTGTAGCAATGCAAAGAGAATATCGATGAAGAGAATCCTCGATGAACATTTCAAAAGGTTCTATCTGCTTTGACCGATTTCTATTCATCGACTTTATCTTTTGATAACATCTCCTATGCAAACAGATTTGGCGCTATTTTTACCACATAGTTTGATAAATGAGGTTCTTATCTAGCGTCCAAAACGTCAAATACAAAAGGAAAAGGTTTGACAGCTGAGTTATTAACAAAATAGAAAGTCGATGAAGAGAATCGATCAATACAGATAGATGATAACGTTTTTTTTCATTTACGCCTGCTATGAGAATTTCCAATTGCAGAAGCTATGATGGGCCATCCTGGGTGAGTTATTGTTGTTGTTCTTGTTCCTGGGTAAGTTTAAGAATGAAGAAAACTGTAGTTTTCAGAGAAAAACGAAAGTTTTTCAACTTCATTCAGGTTACTAAGGTAGTTTAGTATTACTTACTTCATGACAAAACTCTTTTTATATAATTTCCATGATATTTTGTTAGTCGAACACTTCTTGAACATAAAAATAATCATAAATCTCATAAAAATAATCATAAATCTCCTTCTGATAGATTTTGGCCTGATTTTGACGTTTCATACAGTTTACTGGAACGTCCAGTAAAATATTTCATATTACTGATTTTTCAGTTAAAGTTAGTTTTGCTGGAACAGGACTTCAAAATTTGGTGTGTATGCATTCCCACTGTCGAATTATTCCGTTAGGTAATGTTAACGTTTGTTGTAAAAATTATGTTTTGTATGCATTTTGAAAACATTAAAACTGATAAATGTTGATTTTTTTATGATCTCAAAATTTAGCAAAATACACCTCTCTATTGGTGAATCAAAGCAAAGCCAAAACTGATAATGCAACACCTTGTTTTAAGATCCGCAATTACAAAAATGATTAAGTTGTCATGCAATTTGACAGATATCAAAACGTCATTACCATTTTCATCCATTCGCCATCTGAGAGTCAATCGTCATTTTGATTCTTCAATAGCTGTCATATTTACTTTAGGGAATATTCCTCAAAAAATACTTTTCCGTTTTGTTTTCAACTGAGTACCAGGCTTTACCAGGTTGTTTTCCTATGTCTTCACTATGGTCATTACGAAAAGTATCAAATGTTAAAGAAAAATGCTAAGAGGAAGGGGAGACAATAGGTGGACTTTTGTGAACTAATTTTCTGTCAAACGCGAACCAGCGCCTGATTGGTCGGGCAAACGTATAGTTGTTTATTAATTTATTTGATAAGACTCAAACGAATTAACTTCACAGAGCCGAGGATTTTTGGTCACTATACAATACGTCTTAAAACTATAGTCAAAAGGGACAACACAATAGACACTTTATCTTCCGTTATCCAAAAAGCCTCCTCCTCCATCCGAACTGGAGCCGCTTCCAGTGGTTTGATTGTATGGCAGTTATGCCAACGAGGGTCACTCACACACTCATCACTAAACGGTTGGGCGAACGTAAACGCGAGAATTTTTACAACAAGGAATCTATTTTCTTGTATTTTGACAGTCGACTGCGTTGCCCATAATGAAATAGATCTTGTACGGTCGTTTCCGCGAGAGAAGAAGAACACTTCACAAACAAAAAGAAGCTAGTTGTCTCCTCTTCCTCTTACAAAAAATGTTAAAACCAGTACTCGTGCCACCACTGTACGTGATTCCCACCTTTTTTCAAACTTATACTTATCGTGGTATTACTTAATAATAAAAAATCCTCGCACCCCTCGACGTGCACCTTCCTCGGAAAAAAACGTCAAACTTCGTTTGATGTCGTCGAACGAACGGGATCGTTCCTGTGCGTGTATTTACAAGTGAACTGAAAAAACCGCGACGCTTCTTATCACTATTAAATTTTCTCCAAATGTAGTGCTTATGTATAAAATAATAATTATTTCCCGAAGCGAACCGTCGGCGCCGTTGTCCGATCGAATAATATTGCAGTGTGGTTTCGGGAAAAGTGTCGAAAATTTCCACCACCTACTCTCGTCCGTGCGTGTCAAGTTTCGTGTTGTCCTCCAGCGAAGCGAGCCCATCGAAATAGTGCAGTGCAAACGAGTGCAGTAATGTTTATTAGTGTTTCCTGTGTGCAATCATCGTCCGAGAATAGAATCTACTCTAGTTGTTGGTTTTCGGTGAAAAGAGTTCGGTTAATCGATTAGTGCGGAAGGTTTCGTTTTTGCGAGTTATCGGCTCGGCAAAGCGGTGGATGTGTGCAAAGGAATGCACCCAGTGCATTGTGAATGTCCATGAAAATGACCTCCCGTATCGAGGTTGTATAATAGAAAGGTGATCAAGTGCAGTGTGTTACCTGTGTAGTTGGTGTCGAATGTGAATATGAGATTGGAGCAATTAAATTGCATCTGGGCCGCAGTGGCTAGAGGTTAGCGATCAAAACAAGTGGAAGCGCATGCAGTTTCACTCCCGCCATAGCGATTCTTATTGGAAACTACGAATGTGAATGTTCCGGAAGGTTCATTGATAGAAGGAGCACAAACCAGCATAAACCGCAGTGCATACAACATACATACTCAACACACTCACCGCATGACTGCTGATTGACCTTCTAGTGCACCTGGTAAGCATATGCACTCATTCAAGGCAGCGTTTGCTCGTATGCCTTTTGATTAAAAGTTACTAGACGTAAGGAAATGCAGCAACAACTAAATAAGAGGGGAGATCCCTAATCGCTTATCTTGGCTATGGCCAGTTGGTTGAATTAATTCCAAATATTGGGTCACTGGGGTAGATTCAAAACCCCTTTTTCTTCGTAGTATTTTTCGTGCGTCATATCATTGGGAAAATGAAATGGTGCCTTAGAAGATTTTGTTAATGGAACTATCACATTTGCTGACTTTGTTCACAGCATATCAAATCTCTTCTGAGCAGCTATTGTTAATGATGATTGGTTTTTTTATTATCCTCGGGTGCCTCTATCCGTGGCATGGTAACCTAGCTACTAAACCAATGTGTGTTAAATTATGGCACTGGTGAAAACACGATTTTGGTTTTAAAACAATTCTCGAACAATGAAAATTACTGTATTGGATTGAAAATTGTTTGGGAAAAAACGGATTTTTCTACTGTTCAGATACTTAACAACCCCCTTTTTAATTGTGTAATTGTCTCACATACCATGATTTCTATGGTTGTGAATTATAGTAACAGTAAATATGATGGCTACAGTGGCAGTGAAAATCATTGTATTTTCACTTTTATATTTTTTTTGGCAATGATATTCGTTTTTGATTTCCTTGCGTTTTTAAGCGATTAACTGCTTCGTGGCGTAAACATCACCAACATTCGAATGATAGGTTTTGGTTCATAGTGGTCACATTCCCGGAGACACCAAATTCAAAATAAATTACATATAATTTTAACCTAGATGCTCCAGTTACTACAGTAACTTACCAGCCTTAATTTTGTATGACATATATTCAGTATTAAACAGGTTTTCTATACCTGCATGTCAGTATTACAATTGACAGATGTCTAACTAAAAAACTAAAACTAAATCTTATCGAAGTAGAAAGGGAATTAATCGAGGATTGCAACGATTTTTGACTGAAATTAATAATTATTTTGTTGGACATTTGTTCTAGGCCAAGAATGTCAATTCTTCCGTCTGGTTCGTCCAGCAAACAATGAAGCGGGCCGAACTTCATGTCTTCAAGGTAAGGAAGGCCCCTAACCGAACCGATAAACAGAATACGGTGGCCAAATCCCGCACCAGAAAGCTGTACCGCGAGTGGTTTGTGCAGCCGAAATGCATCGTAATGGACGACGAGACGTATATTAAAGCGAATGCCAAGCAGATCCCCGGCCTAAAAGTTTTTCGTTGGCAAGTCCCGCCTGGATGTTCCGGAGAAGTTCCGGAAGAAAAAGGTCGACAAATTTGCCAAGAAGTACTTAGTATGGCAGGTGATCAGTATACCAATGGACTTTCTCTTATCACCCAACATCTCAAACCAAAGCAAGATCCTCAGCAACTTAACAATCAAAACTCCGAAGAAAGACAGCGCAGCCTCAGCCTTGACAGCCTCAGTACTTAACTAGAAGAGGCTTTTATAGGCCTCCCAACATAATAAAAAAAGGGAAAGAAAATAAATAAATCAACTTTGTAACTAGATGAGGGGCCTTCTGGACACTATCTTTTCAGAGTCTCTATAATAAAGAAATCAATCAATCAATCGGTGGGTGGTGCAAATTCAGCAAGCCGTACATAGCGACCGGCACCATCAACGGCCAAATATATAAAGAAGAATGCCTCCAGAAGCGCCTGTTGTCCTTCCTCCGGTCCCACTAAGGTGACACTCTGTTTTGGCCGGATCTGGTACGATGTTGTTATTGTGCCGAAGAAGGCAAATCCGCTAAACTCGCCAGAACTTCGTCCAAGGGGGCCTCCCTTAGCTCAGTCGGTAAAGGCGCAGCTACAAAGCAATTCAATTCCCGGTCCGGTCTAGGAATTTTTCGGGTTGGAAAATTTCTCGACTTCCCTGGGCATAAAAGTATGGTTGGACTTGCCACACAATTCTATCAATGCAAAAATGGTACAGGCATCGAAAGCTCTCAATTAATAACTGTGGAAGTGCATCTAGAACACTAAGTTGAGAGCACGCAATAAGCTAATATGCGATATGCAATAAGCTTGAAATTCGAAGAAGAAGAAGAAGAACTTTGTCCAATAGAAACATTCTGGGTGATAATGAAGGGCAAGCTTTGGAAAACAGGGAAGATGTTTAAAAACGACAAGGATTTGAAAAAGGAGTGGATGAAAGTGTGTAAGAAAGATGGCGCAAGTGTTGCACAGGATTTGATGGGTAGCGTTAAGTCCAAGGTGCGGGCATTTAGCCTAGGGGAGGAGATTGAATAAACCAACTTTGCAAAAACATGGCTAATATGTGTTTATTTATTACCTGAGAGTTTCAAAAATATCCGACTTAAATTGAATTTTTGGTGATCATTTTTGTCTGTTGCATTCTTTTCGAGTACAATCTTCACGCTTGAAAATCTTCTACAGAACACTCTGCCTCATACTATAAATAATTCTAGCAATTCCCTGAAAAAATACTCCTGAAAAAATCACTTGAAGTCCTCCACAGCTTGCACTTAGAATTTTGTAGAAATTCCCAAGGAATTACAATAAGATTTTTTTTAGTTCTTCTCAGAATTCCCATTGATTCTTTGAAATGCTCCCCATAATTTACTTGGATATCTCTTTTAAATTTTCTCAAAATTATCGCCGGAATATCTTAGGAATACTCCTCAGAATTCCTTGGAAATTTTCCTCAAAATTTTGTTAGAACTATCCTTGGAATTCAGGATTATTTTTTTTTAATTTTCGTTGGAATCACCTTAAAAATGTGTTCAAAATTCCTTTGAAATACTTGGTAATTTGTTCTATGCACCCGTGAACAACATACTGTAAACCATTTCGAACCAGACGCTTACCTGCGGGAGGATGGTCTGCTGCATCTGGGTAAGCCGGGATCCGGATTCATCGTACAACAACCTGGAGGATGAGGATAAGCATCAGAATCTGATGTTGACGTTCAACAGCGTAACCAGTACGGTGGACAATTCGCTTGGACATGCCATACTGATCGGCCCAGTTCCGTCTCCCGTATGTCGCAGTGTGATGAAGATTTGATCTTCGGAGAGTACAGCAAATATTACACACTAGAAAGGCACATCGCGAATGGCGCGTTACCGGAACTCGGATAGGTTGCTGGTATATGGTATATAGAAGTTCATACTGAAGGAGAACCTCTCATGCCGCAGTTTATGATTAAGACCGAGGAGAAATGGGAAGACGGATAAGCTGGGTTGTTGGATATTTCGACAGAATGCTAATGTGGTTGCTTTCCTGCACTCGTTGAACATTCTGCACCGGGACATCAAAGACGAGAACGTTATCATCGACGTTCGGAAGAGCAACTTTTCTACCTTCTATGGCACGACCGAGTAGGTACTTCGCCGGCCCGGAACTGTAAATGTGGGCTCTCGGTATGACACTGTACGTGTTGATGATCTTCGATAACCCATTCGTGGACTGCAATCCTGAAGAAATCCTGCGAAGAATTGGAGTACATGTTGCTTTCGCTGTTGGACAAGAATCCCAAATCTCGGATCACTATCCAGGAGCTACTGGACGACGCAGGAAATCAATTCGCCACAGTTCAATTTTGCCAAAATCGTCCCCTGATAACCGTACAAAACCAATAGAAGTGCGTAGAAGTGCTTCGTAGATGCGAATATCCGCTCCAGAAAGACGGGACTGTCCACGTCGCCGCACAACCTTTCGATGGTGGATGATGTCGATGGTGAGAATGACGATGAGCATGTCCACATGGATGATTCGTTCATGGATCTCGACGATGATATTTGTCATCTGTCGCACGATTTTTTTCCTTGATTTTTATTTTTTTCCGTCGATCTTGTTTTCCGTGCTGAGCACCAATGCTACCGACGCCAGGGAGGCAGCTCCCACACCTCCCAAGTAACAATTTTGGTTTTATGAGGGTTCTGTAGACCATGATTTAGACTTGTAGAATGCTATAAAACCGCGATAAAACCTGCAATGTTACTTGGGCTGGACTCTACCTATCGACCCATCAACTCATGAACCGGGGACCAATGGCTTTACTTCCCTTGATCAGAGATGTTATGCCTCAGAATATCCCGGCAGCGCCGACTGGGATTGAACCCAGGCCTGCTGGGGTGAGAGGCAATCACGGTTACCACTACACCACCGGCGCCGCTGTCTGTCGCATGATGATGAGATTGGTCTGACGATATCTTCGGCAGCGAGAAAGTCTGCTTGGGAAACGAACCACCTGGTCCGACGACCGTGATGGAGGCTCCGGTGCAATGATGCAAAATATCATGACACTCATGTGACACTCGTCTTCGCATCAATCGACTATCGCTTACAGATCGTTTTGTCACGCAGTGAGAGTTAGAGCCATGGAAAACAGCAATCACCTAATAATGGTCGCTGCTCACAAGCAAATCTTTACACCCGCTGCTGATAATGTAAAGCACAACGAAAACAGTGAAGACTTCTGCAGTACGATCATGAGAAAAAGCGAAACGACAGAAGAAAATGAAAACAATGCCTTCGCATTCCAAGTTCGTCTCGACAGGCGCGAGTGTGTGAGTTACAAACAAAGCAGGCAACATTAAGCGGAAGCTGTTGGACACACTCACATAAGCAAGCAAAGCAGCAACTGCTTCAAAACGAGCACAGATGAGTGTCGTGATTGTCAGGAATGACCAGATCGGTGATGGATCACAACAGAAGACGACATTCACCAGTTGCTTTTTACTTCTTTCGTCAACTTGATGGATGGTCATGGAGAGAGCTTCGACGAGCACATTGATAGGAATGTACAAAGCGTTACTACCATCAGCTGTTTGATGATGGTGATTGTGATAGGTCGCAACTCTGCTCCGGTGAAATTATCTGCGGAAATTATAATGCGGATAACAAAAATTGTATGTACTAACATGCGCACATCCGCACTGGGCAGGCGCAGAAATAGTGCAGTGATGCCAGTTACTTTAGATATCATACAG